GTGTATGGATTGGGATAACAGTTGTATGAGCCCCTAATAAAATGTTTTTAAAAAAAAAAAAAAAGAATGAGCTTTGATTTTTATAAAATGCCTTTTCTGTATCAATTGATATGATTATGTGGTTCTTCTTTGTTCTGTGTAGTGGATTAGGTGGAATGGTTTTCACATTTTGAACCATCTGTATAACTTGGTGCATATCCCATTTGGTCATGATGTTATTTTTTTTATATTGGCTGGGATTGTGTTGAGAATATTTGTATACATAGTCACAAAAGAAGCCAAATCAAAAACACCCAAACCCACTGCCATCAATGCGAATTCTGACTCAAAGGTAACCTATATAGGGTTTCTGTGGCCATAAATTTTTATGTAAGTAGATAGCCTCCTCTTTCTCCCAAGGACCAGCTGGTGGTTTTGAACTGCTCACCTTGCAGGTAAAAAGAACAAAACAAAAAAAACTTCACTGTGAACAAGTCGATTCCAACTCATAGGGAGCCTATAGTACTGGATAGAATTGCCCCATGACTCTTTATAGAAATAGATAGCATCATCTTTCTCCTAAGGAGAAGGTGGTGGCTTTGAACTTCCACCTTGCAGTTAGCAGCACAATGTGTAACCACTACACCGATTACCCGATGGAGTGTTGTTTCTTTTTGTGGTGGTGGCTTAGGTATCTGGGTTATGCTTGCTTCATACATGAATTTGGGAGTAGTCCGTCCTTTTCTGATAGTATTGAGAACTGTGCTAACTTTTGTTTGAATGTTTAGAAGAATTTTCTACTGAAGCCATCTGGGCCAGGGCTTTTTAAAAAAAACAATCTTTTTATTGTGAATTAAATGGTTTACAGTGAAGACCATAGTTTTGTTTTGGTTTTAATTAAAAGATTATTTTATTGGGGGCTCTTACAGCTGTTATAACAATTTACATGTCAATTGTATCAAGCATACTTGTATATATGTTAACATTATCTTCTAAACATTTAGTTTCTATTGAGTCCTTAGTAGCAGCTCTTTTTCCCTCTCCCTCCCCCCGTGACCCCTTGATAAATTATGAATTATTTTCGTATCTCATACTGACCGCTCTCTCCCTTCCCCCATGGTTTCTGTTGTTTGTCCCCAGTGGGGGTTGGGGGGTGGTTATATGTGGATCATTGCGATTGGTTCTCCCTTCTACCCTCCTTTCCCTCCCATCCCCCTCCCCTCCTGGTATCGCTACTCCCATTCCTGTTCCTGGATTCTGTGTGTCGTGAGCTCTTATATCTTTATCTGTACCTGTGCACCTGCTCCAGTCTAGCCCGCAGTTAAAGGCAGGACTGGCGTCATGAAGGTGAGGAGTGAGGAAGCCTTAAGGAACCAAAGAAATATTATGTGTTTCCTTGGTGTTATACTGTGTCCTAGTTGACTCATTCCTTCCTTGTGACCCTTCTGTAAGGGGATGTCTTATTTTCTACACATAGGCTTTGGGTATCTGCTCTGACCTCCCTCATTCTTAACAATATGGTTTTTGTTTCCTTGTTTGTTTTGGGTCTTCTGATGGCTGTTACCCAATCCCGTTGACACCTCACGATCACACAGGCTGGTGTGCTTCTTCCATGTGGGCTTATTGCTTCTCTGCTAGATGGCTGCATGTTTAACTTCAAGCTTTTAAGACCCCAGACACTATTATCTTTTGATAGCCGGGCACCATCCATTTTCTTCACATTTGCTTATGCACCCATTTTGTCTTCAGCGATTATGCCAGGAGGGTGAGCATCACAGAATGCCAGGTTGTTAGAACGAAGTGATCTTCCCCCAATAAAATGATAAAAAACCCCAAAGTGTTCTTGCATTGAGGAAGGGCATGAGCAGAGGCCCGAAGTCCGTCCACTACCTCAGTGTATTGCCTTATAAATATATGTAAATAGGCCAATACCGCTATTTTTATCATAAATAGGCCAATACCGCTATTTTTATCAATTAAAGTATTTACATATGTACACACCTATGTTTATACCTCTATCCATAGCTTTGCTTCCTAGATCTTTCCTGTTTCCTTTTACCTTTCTTCTGTCCCACCACCAGGCTCGCCTTTTTCTACCTCTTAGTAA